ATCCAACCAGGCTTATGAACCAAATACCAACCTAGAGGCACATCACAGAATGTGTGTGCAGGGTGCCTGATAAGCAGCTCAAACCCCAAATTTGTGAATCGCAGGTTGATGAATTGGTGGGCGTGCATCAAGCACTGGGGTGATTCATCCGATGCTGATATGGGTCCATCATTAGTTTATCAGTCTTCAATCATATGAATCTCGGATCTCTGACTTCAAGTGGTGCTTCACATGTATCGCTGAAGTGATTGCTTTGCAGTGCCTCATTGCAGTTTTGAGATGGACAATTTGAACAGATGACCGAACAATAAGAGCAGTGCCCTCTGGTAATTTAATATAGCTATAGAAAATCACCATTTTTAATTGGTAAACCATGGTAAACCATCTATTTCTATGGGCCATTTTCCATAGCTGTTAGTTTACCAGAGGGTAATTGAGGGTAAGAAGGATAGCTGTTGCGATCACCATTTGCGGAGTTTGCGATAGGTTTCATCCCAGCTGGCAGGTTTCCAAGTTTCTATCATTGAGACATAGCAGTACATGCCCATCATAGTACCCTCTGGTAAACTAACAGCTATGGAAAATGGCCCATAGAAATAGATGGTTTACCTATTAAAAATGGTGATTTTCTATAGCTATGTTAAATTACCAGAGGGTAAACATTGCCATGGGAAATATCCATAAATGAAAGTTCCAATGGGAAAATCATTTGAAAATGGGGGCATTTTCATGAAATGTCATGATTTTGCCGTTGCCATGTTTGATTATCAGAGGGCATCTCATCTCAACTCACCCAGTTTTCATGTTGGAAGTGACTAAATTCCATACCAGGCTCGGAGACCGGCACCCCATGAATGGCCAAATGACCTGCTGTTGTGTTGTTCTGGTTGTTGCTTAGCATGGAATCGAAAGGCCATGGCCGGCAGACAGAATGATTTCGCCCTGCTTTCAGATATAACTGGGCAGCTTTTCTTCATGGAACTGGTTTTGAGCGCCAGATAATTTAAACTTGGAGCCTTCGATGGACCTATTCCGGCAAGTTGCTCTGCTAAACAGGCCAGTTGCACATCAATCAACGTGCGTGCGCGATAGCGATTGCACCGCGACATCGCTGTAAATTATATGACTCGAAAAGGATTGTTTTGGTTATGCCCATATTTTTGGCTTATATTAAAATTATATACTATTTACTATTATATGACCAACATACCCAGATCATCCCAGATCAAGGGAATCAACATGCTCAACGGCGCCAGGAGGCCCAACCTTTGAAGGCGGGCTGGATGTCGCCTGTTGGATTGTTTTTTTTTGATTGTGATATGGCTGGTGCACCTGTTTCTTATGGTTAACGTTAATATTGTATGCCTTTGTTCTCTTTGATATCATCAACCCATATCACGATATTGTTGTCACCATTTCGGATTGTTTTTGTGATTCGTTCTGATTTATTTTGTCGTTCCCTTCAATGGACCATCATCGTCGAAACGCACGAAAAAGGGTCAGTCATGATTCACACTGAGTCAAGCGGTTGTAAATTTGCGTTTAATAATGGAAAGATGGGAGATACTTCAATCATGATGTGTGAAATTTATGCAAAATCCGGATTGAACATGCTCTTGATGGTATCGACGCGAATCACTTCAGCTGTGAACAAAATTATTGGGTCCCATCTTCCAAGTTCCATGTTGAAAATTACATGTCCATATGAAGGGCTGACCGTGTGGATGAATTGCAGTTTTTGCATGTTTTTGCTACATTTTCTGGAACGTGAACGCGAAAAAACAGGTGTATTTAACAGTAAGTCATGAAAGTTTCCCACCAAAATATCCAAAAATGTTTACTGTAAGACATTGCGCCAATCATGCAGTACAGAACCAAAAAAGACTTCACATCACAGATGTCAGGTGCGGTGCCGCAAAATCTACCCCACAAGTTGGGATTGTCCAATGACCCCGATATGTTTTCACCGTTCCAACGAGAAAATGGTCGGTCATATCTGGGGCCATGGTTCAACCAACCATAAAATGGCGGAGAGTTGTTACTCGCAATCCGTTTCTTTGATGTTATTTTCATTAGATTCCCAAAATATTTCAAAGCAAATCCTCTCCAACCGACCCATATATATATACTATAATAGCAACCCTCACACAGGCACAGATAGAACCCTACGTAAAATTATTCACTATTTTTTTGATCGAGATTCTGTTTTTCTGCATCTGTTTGGGGGTTGCTATATAACTGTTATCCCAATTGTGAAATCACATGTTTTCCTATCGTTCCTCTAGGGCATGTATGCAGGCGTCCATAGATTCTCTTCCACCTACCATGTAGTAACCGCTCATTTTGGTTCTACCGACTTGTTTTGGCTCACTGACAAATATTCAGATGCGTTTAGCCTGTGAGTAGATTGTGACCCTTTTTCCTCTATTTAGATATTTAGATATCCACATGGTGGGTTGGTTTCGATACACAGTTCTCCATATGGTATCATCCATCCACCATGATCATTTCTGCAGGTCCAGTTGCCCTCGCAGGCCCGTGCGATGGCTGGTGCGATAACAGTGTTGGCATTTTATTGGGATAGGATTGGGATACAATTGGGTCTCAATTGGGTTATAATATCATGGGGAGATAATTGGAATATTTCATGGTGGTGATATTTCATCAGGGATAGATCGATATCACCTGTCTGGGATATAGTGGGTGTAAAATGTTTTTTTAACTACCAATCATCAGGATACTTGGAGATGACACCAGCCAAAATTGGGATATTCAGGGGTTATACCCTGGCAAGATCGATAGATGGGCTAAATCGGGATGATATGATTCAACTTTCCATGATTAGGATTACCATAGGCACACAAGGGTATTGGGATTTTCACAGGACCCGACCTCCAGCTAACATAGACTTTGCCAGTTCTCGGGGTTGGGCAATGTTCAGGGTTTGTGTCAGTTGAGGGGAGGGGATGGTGGCTTGGACACTTTGCAGGAAAAAAATGTTTGTTGAAGTTAAAGTGCAGTTGTTGTGACACATCTGTTTAAGCAGGAAATTTTGATAGGGGAAGTGTAGCAGTCCGAACATCCGTGATCCTGAATGTGTTTATTTCCTAACATTTTGCATCATTTAGTCTCTTGCGACTCTTGCAAGCCGAAAAAGTTATGCATCTATTCTGTAATATCTATAGTACCCCCGAAAAAGATTGCACAAGAACTTACCTAACTTACCATTAATTTTCGCAGGATTTCACTTTTTTTTTCTGTTTTTGTGGGCACTGTCAGATGTTGCATATACACCTATCGTATCAACTACTGGGGACCAAAATCTGGGGCTTAGGCAACTGAGATGCACCTAAGTTGAACCAGAAATCAACAAAAAACATGTGGAATATCCAAAAAAATATGGTTCAACTACTTGGTCGAATTTTATGGTTGAAGTTTTCTGAAATCTGGTTTCTTTGACCGTTATTGGAAAACCATCTTCCAGACCAGTAAATTTGGGTTCCACGTTTAGGAAGTGTATCTCGCCAAGATATTCCATAGGGATCTTCTCAGCAAGGCTGAGTGGTTCAAGCTGCTTTTCAGCATGATATCCACATGATAGTCTCAAGTACCCTGTGGTAATCATTGGTAATCAAACACGCCAACGGGACATCCACTATACTGATTGGTGGTTTGGAACATTTGGACTATTTTTCCATATGTTGGAAATAATAATCCCAACTGACGAACTCATATTTTTCAGAGGGGTTAAAATCACCAACCAGTTGTAATATGGTTATTACTCAATATTGGTGATGTGCAATTATTACTACTGCTTGTATTAAAAATACTACTGCTAGTAATATCTATAATTACATGGCATTTAAATGGCATTTAAATGTTTTGTTTCATTGCCATGGTCTCGATTCTTGCGGGTACCTTGGTGAGTTAGGTTTTTTGCGCGGACCATCCCGAAAGATCAAGAAAACACCGGTGAAGAACCTTGAGTTTTGTTGGGTCTATTCGACCCATTGGTAACATTGGGGGTCTATTAAACTATTGGGATCTGACTTTCTACCACGAAATTCATCTTGGACTGTACTTATACTGATTGGTGGTTTGGAACATTTGGACTATTTTTCCATATATTGGGAATGTCATCATCCCATTTGACTAATATTTTTTCAGAGAGGTAGGTCAACCACCAACCAGTATATTTCACCTATCGGGCAGGACATGGGCGCGGGTGCTTCTTCCAGTCGTCTACAGCATGCCACCCAAGTTCTGCAGGCTGCGGGTGAGGTATGAAAAACACACCAACGGGGTAGATGTGGAATTGACCAACAAGGGGGCTCTACCCTCTGGTAAACGTTTACATAACTAGGGAAAACCACTATTTTTTTATGGGTAAATCAACTATGAATGGCCATTTTCAATAGCTATGTTAGTTTACCAGAGGGTACCCAACATGTACTTTGACAAGCAAATCATTGGGGGTTCAGCCAACACAACTTGGGATATAACCAGGAAAGCACGGGGATTTTACCAAAAAGTCACAGGACACAATTGGATTTACGTACATTGAATTTGGATGGAATCAAAGATCTGATATATTGTTGGTGAGTTTGTTTTTGTATATATAAAGCAATTCATTTTTATACACATATAGAATATATATATATATATATATCATCTATACACCGTATATAATTACAGATATATTGAGTAATATGTGTTTAATATACATATATATATATTGCGGAATGCAAGGTAGCACAAACAGCAACGAAAGATGCTATGGCTTCCTACACACCCTAAACCAAGCGGTTTCACTGCAATTCCTGTTTTGACCAAGCCAGTGAAGGCTCAAGGCCTATTGATCCCAAAGAGCGGCAGCAGGCCACAACATCCAAGAATGTACCTGGCAAATGGAAATGGGACATGGGAAATTCACACGCCCTCTTGTGGACTTATTGCTGCTGCAAACTTATATTCACAGCTGATTCTCAGCTTTCATGCAACTAGCGCGAACGTTGGAAGCGTCCAGTTCCCTTGTTGCCATCAGTCTCAAGCCATTTGATGCGAAGGAGGAATCTGGCAAAGTCAGTGGCCTGGGTATCACAAGGTGTGTCAACATCCTTGCCATAGGTCTTCACCAACCATTGGAGATATCCTTTGGCTTCAGCGTTGTGCAGTGCTTCGGCAACCAACGTAGAATAGCGATATCCCTGATTCTCATACTTCTTCATAACGATCACGGTCTTCGACCAATCATCCACATCAACACAATCCACTGGCAGAGAAATCTTGACATTCTGACGGGTATGGACATCCCTGATCACTTGGCTGATGGTGGTCACATTGGGCTCAACCACGGTAGGCGTAGGAGTTGTGACAGCATCATAGCCACTCGGCAAAGAATTCTCACCACGGCCAACCACACTCCACACAGTTGAACGTGGGCTTTCACCATGGGAACTCTCGATCTCATCCCGAACACGCTTGGCAGCTTCGGACATACCACCAGGCACATCAAAACCTGGGATGTAGTTCTTCAGCCACTGACATGACTGGGGATCTTCGGCAGCTGTACGCTCAAAGATGGGGCGAGCTTGGTTGTTGGCAATCGCCCGAGTGAGCAAACCAACGGTCATCGAAATCTCAACCTCATTCAACTTTGGCGTCTCTGCGGCTTTCTTGGAGATCTTGCGAGGCATCTGGGACATGGCTCTCAGAAATCACGCTAACGGCGTTTGGATCAAAAACTGTACACACTCAGCAGGCTACTCGGTTCAGCTACCTGGCAAATCTCTAAGTGATAAAGCAACGGAAAAACGGCATTTCTGAATGGCTCTCAGTATCTTCACACTGAGACGCATGCAGTTCTGTACATGAAAAAACTCTTTCAGCATTTGACTTAGTCAGGCTTACTTATGGTTATGCAAAAGGTTGCTTCTCACGGCTGTTTACCTTGACTGACCTGTTCTGCTCGCTTGTCGCTGGCTTTCTCTTTACTCCCGGACTCCTTACAAACTTTGATCTGATATTTTCCACTCTCCATCAAGTCAAAGAAAGGTTTACTGTCGCTATTGAGTTTTGTGAGAATGTCAGCGGCCATGTACTTATTGTTTATCCAGTATATTTCTATATTTTGACGCAACATGGAGTCTCTGGCAATGGCATATTCTAGTTCTAACTTTTTCTCTTGACTGGTGGATGCACTGCTCAGTTTACTGGAAGCATCATAGAAACCTCTGGAATCCACAACAAGCAAGGCTGGGTGTTTCGGCCTTTGTTTTCGGAATTCTCTGGGTGAGATTCCATACACTGTTTCTGCAAGAAGACCTTGAAAGAACTCTATGGCGTCTAAGGCATTGTTTCCAGCATGTGTTTCTGCGGCTGTTGAGGAACGGACCACACGCTGCAACTTTTTGCTTGCCCAATCCACCAACCACATCGGTGCGGTTTTCCGATCTCTCATCAAGGTATTGGTGAGTCCCAAGAGGTAACCACCCTGCGAATCCCCATTGGCTCTCTTTGCATGGCCGGCATCGGATATACACACTATTCGCCATTGTTCTATTGGAACATTTGAGGGAAACTTCATTACAACTTTTCTTTCTTTCATCTCTCTCAGTGCTTTGTTGTAAAGTTCAACATGGCTTACAGTGGCTTTATCCTGGATACCTTGCAAATAAGAGGCTAAGAATGCTTTGTCAGGACGTGTTGAACCTGCGGCCCATGCCAGCTGTCCAGCACACCTTCGCAGCAAAGAAGGATCACGCACAGGGGTTCCTGAAGACCCAAGGCTCTTGGTTGAGACAGGCTCCAAGGAATCGATGTATGTTTCCTGATTAATCTCGATGGCAAATGTATTGGGGTTCTGACGGATCTCTATTCCAGTGTAACGGATTGTATATGTTCTGAAATCACCAAAGGGAAGGCACTTCCTTAGTTTTTCAAGAACAGCATCCATTTCTGGGGTTCCTCCACCTAGAAGGTCGTCAACATGAACACCACAAACACCAACCAGTTCGTTTTTGGAATTTCTCAGGGAAAACAAACAGCGGTCCAATTGGGATACCTTTAGACCTTGTTGGGCTAACTCTCGGCTCAACCTAAGAAACCAGGCCCGTGGGGCTTCTGCTAGCCCGTAGGCTGCTTTCTCCAAGCGAAACAGGTCCTCGTCGGTGAGGTCCATCCATCTTTTTATTTCAGGGGGCGGTCTGAAGTACAACTGTCTCTCAGAAGGGTCTCCGCTTAGGAATGCGGTTTTGATATCTGCTCCCCAAATTCGCCATTTCTTTGCGGCACAAATTGAAAGAATCAGATTTTTGGACTCCTTTTTGAGGGTTGGACTATCTGTAGCTATTTTTCCTAGTTCAGGATCTTGCCATCCCACTAGTACTAGTCTAGCTTTGGGGGTTTTTGACCTATCATCTGGGTCTGATGATTTTTTCCAAACTAAAACCCATCGCGCCCTGATCACCCGTTCTCTGGGAATTCCCCGGGATTTACAGATGGAGGTTACTTTGTTATCTATCCATGACTGCCACTCCTTTTTCATTGCAACCTCAAACCTTTTCTTATCCTCCTCACTCAATTTCCGGAAGCTGACCTCTACCCGGCGTTGTTTCGCTGGCTGCTGCACGACGAAGCAATCTTCAATCACTTCCCACAAGCACAACTGTTGTTCAGTGATGTCCTCTGGGCGGACTTCTATAGATACTTCCATGACATCATGCTTACCAGGAACCGGATTATTTTCTTCATGTTCTACAATCAGTTCATCACCATCATCCATTGGCACCGGAACTTCATGAGGCTGTACATCTCTAGGTTCGGGTTCTGCAGGTGGCAGTGGATCATTGACTGCGGTTTCATCTTCGGAAGTGATCGGAGGTTGTGATTCAGGAGTTTCAGGCAAAGCTTCTGACTGTACACCAGATTGCGCATCTTGACCGATCTCTGCATCATCAAGGCTGGGTCTTGGCGATTTGGCAGGCGAAGTTGGCTCGTATGAGTATTTTTCAACATCATCGGTTACAGTAACTTGCCTTTTTCTATCTGGTTCTACATTATCATCATCATCGGGTTCTAAAGACCTACTGGATTTTAGGCGGACTACTTGGGGGAGGTCTACATCATCATGTAGTGGCCCTAGTGGCGGTGCGCCCTCTGCCCTTCTTCTCCAATAGTCATCTGACCTGTAGAACCTACGCCTGATCTTTTTGGGACCTTGTTCAAGCTGTGAGTCTTCTACATTCGGCTCTTCCCACAAATCATCCTCAAGTTCATGATCTTCTTCTATGGGTTTGTGTTCTTCTGAAAGATCTTCAAACTGACCTGATTTGGAGGAAACATTTTGTTCAGCTTGCTCCAGCTCGGGATGCAGACGTCCTTCCGACAAAGAACGGGCAAGGCTGCGGAATTCAGCTTCGTCCTCTGGCACTGGTCGAAGTCCCTCTGGGCTGCACCTGTATAAGTAACCATTATGGCTTACCCAAACAAGTCTAGGAACTGGACCCCCGCTTTCGCTTTCTATCCCCACTACTCTACCCGGACCTATCCAAACTCCATGACGTGTTGACAAAAGACCTCTGGCTCTACGACGGAAGACATAAACCAATTGACCAACTTGGTATGGACCCCGGATGGGTCTTGCTCTGCCGGCGACAGCTCGGCGCCAGATGTCACGTGCATGTTCTTCATGAAATGCTACTGCAGCTTGTTCTCTCAATCGAACTTTATCATGGAAATCAGGATCGGCTAGGTATCGTGAAGCAGTGGTTATGTTGTTTTGTTGTTCAAGGTCTCTCAACATACCAGCCTGACGGGAATCCTGACCAAGAAACCATTGTGAGGGGCTGAATCCACAACGTCTCAACTGCTCGTTTCTTGTGGTGGCACACATCTCAATTGTTTCTTCTACACTTCTATTTGTGGTTCTCCACACCTTTTGCGCCATGTTTCTGAGGATCCTATTTGTCACTTCAACCAAACCAAGTTGCCAATGGGACTCGGCTGCGGCCAAAAGAAGTTTGACATCGTTTCGTGCCAAGTATGCTTGGAAAGGCTTGCTGATATTTGCCATGGCTGGGTCCATGTAGATGGTGTTTGGCAAACCATATGGACGCGACCAAACATTATGAAATGCTTCTGCCATTGAATGGCCAGTCGGACAAATAATCTGCTGGGCAAAACCTGTTCCTAAGCAAACACATGCGAGGACGTTTCTTTTGATTTCCACCAATTTTCCATGCTCATCTTCTTTCTTCAATTCAACTTGAACATAGTCAACACCTACTATGTCATTAGGCTTATCGGCATGGGGCATTGCAGCTTGCCTTCGAGATGGTGGTACTTTCAACTCCTCGCACACAGGGCAACGGAACTTTCGGATGGCATCTTGAACTTCTTGGGACGATTGGCAACGCTTGGCAAGTCTGAGCATTTGTTCAACGGATGCATGACCGGTGTTTGTATGCAACTTTTGGATTATTGCTTTGATCTTTTCAGGTCTTTGCTCAGGCTGTGCTGCGGCTGCAACTGCGCCCTCTGAGTTAGGAACGGGTTGTTCCGGATCAGCTGGTTCAAGTGCATCGGATTCGTCAAACAAAACATCTTCAAGTCTCGGTGACTTGGCACGGCAGTTGCTCAGAACTTCAGAGACGACTCGGCAGAACTTACCTGGATAAACTTCACACCAAGAGGACAAATTGCGACCTTTGTACGCACCTTCAAGATGGGCATGTTGGTGCAAATGATCACAACGGCACTTCAGCAGTCGTTCTGCAAGTTCTGGCATCGTGGTGACGATCTTTGTGGGCTTAAGCACAGGGACGTTTGTCTTCGGACATCGCATGCCAAGGCTGCACATGTCAATGCGGACTTCATGGAAATCAAGCAATTGCAACTGTGACCATGCTTCAGAAGTCAATGGGTTCTCCGCATGACAGTGACCACCAAACAAACGCTGTAACTGCCACGCTTCAGAAACGGCACTCAGGTGCCTTTTGGCAATTTTGCGCTGCTGCAACACTGTGGTTTCACTGGGTCCACCCTTTGCAAGATTGAATCTACTCCAGGGACCCCAACATCCACAAGGAAATGAAAACCATACGTGTTCCGGCCTACACCATGCAATCAAGTAAAGCAACATGCGGCGATCTGTCAACTTGTTGAAATCCTGGCCATGTTTCAGGCCCAAGATAATGCATGATTTACCGGTTTGTTTATGCAGCTTTTTGGCAAGTGGAGCTCTATCGGTAAACACCTCGATCATTTGAACTGGTGAGTCCAGTGCATGGGCTTGCGGGCCAAGCCATTCTTCTAGTTCTTCTCGGACCTTTTGAGGTTCTGCTTGCATGCAGGACAAAACCAGTTGGCTATTGACCTTTCTAACCGATCTAACCCCTTTACTTATCACATTTCTAAATCCATCCTTTATTTCAGTTGGTCTCATGTTTACCCAATCAACATCATCATACAATGATTCTATTGGGGGACATGGTGGTGGTTGAATCTCCATGGATGGATCCACTTGTTCACAGCAGCACTGGCAGTGACTAGCTGTCTCAGCTGGCACTGGCACTGGCGGTCGTTCAATGGGAATGTGCACGAACAAGGCGATGTTCGTCTGGGCAACTCTGGATCTCTCATTACCTGGCGGGCGAGTGACCCATGGTTGGACTTGGAAATCTCCCTCAGTGGATAGGGTTACCCTACAGCTCAAATAAGACTGGGTTGAAGCATCAGGGGGAATGCGTTCAAGTCTAGGTCTATAGGCTATGAAGGCATGGGTGCATTCGGCTGCTCTGCCACCTACTATTCCTATCAACTGCTCTCGGAATCTTTCAACATTCACAATCCCTTGACGAGTATTTTTGGCTATGTGCTGCAAAAGCTGTTTTCTACTTCTTACATTGTCACCTCTTTTTGGTGCACATGTTTTGGCTACTTTTGTGGAAACCTCAGTCGGTTCGTGCCTCTGCTCAGCGGCTGCAGGGGCTGCGTCATTGGGCTCATTGGTGTCAGCACGGCCGGCTTCTCTGCTGTCGTCATCGGATGATGACATCGGCTCGGATAGGTCACTGGGCATATCTCCAGTATCAGCTAAACTCACATCGGCAGATCGCTTTGAAACATCAGGCTGAAACTCGGACGGGATCTCACAAAACGGCAGGAGGAAATGACCATTGGAAGCCCGTTTCAGCGGGAAATTCACCATGTTGTGCTTTTTGCTGGTGATGGTGCCTTTCCCCATATCTAAGGTTGCCTCCATCCCCTCAAGCACACGACGTGAAAGCAAAAACGGTGTGGGACCTTCAACAACATATGTAGTTATGGTTCCCCAAAGACTTCCAATTTTCACAGGCCATTTCAATCCCTTGGTGGTCACCCTCTTATCCCCACTAAATCCCTTCAACTCTACTGCAGGCAATTCACATGGCTTTGGAATCGGCAGGTTCAGGCTTTGAAACAATTTGGAAAAACGTTCAGCCGTTTGTTGACCTACCACACGGGTCGTGCAACCAGCATCGATCACTGCACAGCCATCAGGAATTGACGCAAGCAGCACGTCTAAGGACTCAGTTCCAGCGAAGACCTCGTTCACCATGTAGGCAAAGGCTTCAGCAATTTCTGCTTCAGTGAAATTTGCATCTTCTCTCCGTGGTCTGAACTCGTTTGGCTTGCGTTTCGCATTTGAACTTTTCACAGAGCTTTTAGTCTTGTCATACTTGAAGTCACCCTTCCGTGGCATCTGACCCATTGATGTAGAGCTTGAACCAGATTTGCTAGGCATGTCTTGCGGCTGACTCAAGGCTACCACAGGGTAGTAAGGCTGTCTGGACTTTTTGATCTCTTTCACTTTGCGTCTACTCTCTTTGTATGTCTTGAAGGATCTTTTGAAGTCTTTCTTGGCCTTGTCCTTGATCTCATAGACTTCCTGCAGCTCACGGTCAGTTGAATTGTCGTCATCATCCTGTTGCATCTCATCAGGCTGATCAACTGCTAATGCATGGTCAGATTCGGAACCACTGGTCATTGGTTCCATGATTTCAGAAGATTCATCATCCACGGCATGGGCTTCTTGCTGAATCATCATAGTATCTCTGCGAGGCGGTCTGGCAGAATGGGACACAGGGGCATGTCGTCGCTCATCAGCACGGCTCCTAGATTCATCAAAATCAGAGGCTCTCAAAATCCTCTCCACTTCATGAAATTTCGATGATCCACCAGTTGAACGGATCACTTGTGCACGTTGTTCACGGGAAAGACCATACTTGCGCATGAACAAATGACCCAAAACTGTTGATGGAAAAATAGGAGACGGCTTTGTATGGCCAACTTCAATTGTGCCCAACAAATGAGCCATTCTCAGTTCTTCACGTTTACGATCAGCAGCAAAAGTTCCACGAGAGCTTTTACCAGAACCGGGACCTTTCTTTCTCCTGCCCTCATCTACAGAGGCATGGCTACGGGCTGACTTCGGTTCTTCTTCATGAGAAGCTTGATCTTTTTCATCTTTTTCACCAGCACATGCAGAAGGCGGCTTTTCATCATCTTTTTCATCATCTTCATCTTCACCTTCGGTAGGTGCTAGGCTACTGGCAGGCGGCGTCTCAGCATCAGGCATATTGGATTCAGGACCAGAAGTTCTACGTTTCTTGGACTTCGAAGCAGCACGGTCTTGGGCGACCAAGGCTTGCACACGGGACAACGCAGTCTTGAAGCGGCTTGCAAACTGCGTGGCACCTTCATGAGGTCGTTTGCGAAGGTCGAACAAAAAGCTATCTATTGCTTCATGCAGTTCGGTCTCTGGCAGAAAAGCGTAATGCTTGTCCAGGGCCTTCAGGACCTGCAGCCAGCCGTCTGAACGGCGCAAATCCGACACTGAAAGGTGCTCAGTGGCTCGATAAGCCTCACCCTGCAACCTGGTCAAAAGACGTGGACCTGCGAGGTGAACATGTTTCTCCTCCAGGCCTGCTACTGCAAGAATTGTTTTTCTCCTGAATTCTCTGTAGTTTGCTGGACGGCCATCAAAAACTAAATCTCTGAAGGATCCAGAATCACGCTCCATTGGCACCGAAGGATGCCACACTCAATGGCCAGGATGGCCACACGTCGCCAAATTCAATTGGCGCCCTTGGATGCCCCGTAGGGCTCCGCTACCATGCGGAATGCAAGGTAGCACAAACAGCAACGAAAGATGCTATGGCTTCCTACACACCCTAAACCAAGCGGTTTCACTTCAATTCCTGTTTTGACCAAGCCAGTGAAGGCTCAAGGCCTATTGATCCCAAAGAGCGGCAGCAGGCCACAACATCCAAGAATGTACCTGGCAAATGGAAATGGGACATGGGAAATTCACATATATATATGTACATATTATATAATATACATATCTGTCGTGGGAGCTGCAGGCCGCCCTTGCCAACTGGGAGGCCATGAACCCAGTGGTCGCCAGTGCATCCTGGGGCCACCCCAAATGACCACAGAAAGAGATACCCGGCCTGGTAAACTGTCACATAACTGTGGAAAATACCCTGTTAAACTGTTATAGCTGGGAAAATCCACTATTTCTATCTATTTCTATGGTCATGAACAAATAGCTATGTAAGAAATTACCAGAGGGTAAAAGGCACACATCCACAGATTTTATACCTGAACAATTGAAGACACAGGCCACGCGCGGTATATGGAGAAATATTTAGCTTCTTGCACATCAGCATGCACATAAGGTGTACAGGACATGTGCATGCACAATTTTAGCAAGAAGCAAGACATCCCTAGAATCTATTGCTTTAAACTGTTTAACCCATCAAAATTTCTAAAAAATCTATGGATGACATGTCGTGTTTTTTTCCCAACCTATTGGTTGAAGCTGAGGCGTGCATGCAAGGAGATGAGGCATGGGCAAATCCCGACAAACCAAGAAAGCCATGGGTTGTTGGGATATGAACCATGGAAAACCACTATTTTTTTTGAAGCATAAACCGTTTATAAACCGTTTTGATAACGTGAAAAACCAACAAATCTTCCAGAATCGGCAAGATTTTTGCGTTTCCATAGTCATGAGGCTACCCAGCTGGACGGTTTCATGGAAAATCCGCCAAAAAATGATGATTTAGAGTTACTATTTTAGGAAACCTCCATAGGCCACCAGGGTGAGAATGATGAACCAGTGGATGAAAGGGGTACCTAATTTGGAAGAACAACCTTGATTGATTTTACCTTCTAGTTCATCTGCTTGGTGAGTAGGTACAGTCTGATTATGGCGTGTCAAACTCAAGTTGCCGGTAAGTTAAAGTATCAATAAGTCCATATGCCAGGACTTACAAACGTTGTTTTTGTTGGTACGTCTCAATTATGGTTGAATAAGCATCATGTACATCCATATTGGTTGGTGGTTTCAAACATTTTTTATTTTCCATAATTGGGATGTCATCCTTCCCACTGACTTTCATATTTTTCAAGATGGTTGAAACCACCAACCAGTAATGGTTATCCAATAACTATGGTTCTCCAATAAACATCATTAACCATCATTAAATCACCATTAAATCACCATCATTGTTTGAAATTAATAGTCGTCGTATATATCATTAACCATCCAATAACTAAATGGTGATTTAACCATCATTAACCATCATTAACCATCATTAACCATCCAATAACCATCCAATAACCATCATTAACCATCCAATAACTCTGGTTCCTAAACATCAAACGACTCCAACGGCTTCCGCCAGGCGAATGGCCAGAGAGTGCCACCCTGGGATCGTTTTTTATCGGGGGATCTCAAAAACTCCGAGATGGAGAATGGAATGGAATTTCCAATGTATATCATATATGATGATTAATTATTAGATTATATATATATATAATGTATAACAATGGATAATCATATATATATATATTATGGATTGTCTAATTATCTATGATTATCAACTTTCCATTCCTACTTGGGGCCCTTCTGAAGTTTGAACTAGTTCTCCAAGATGGTTTGTGTGATCATCATTTCCCAATAAAAGCATCATTTTCCAATCATGGTTTGTTGTGATCATATGTGCCATCTATTTTCCAGCAAATTTGATCACCATTTTCCAGCGTTTCCATGACCCATCAATTGAGACCAAAGTCTTGGCAGCTGACGCTCGACGCTGAGAGATTCAAGCAGCATTGGGATGTCACCGGGCAGACAGTTGTAGTCAAACAATCCAAGGAAAAACCACAAGCGGGATCGGATTTCCGGACCAATACTATGTTGAAATCGGCTTAGGTTCAACACATTTAAATCGGCTTAAACATGCTTAAACCAAGAACGGAATAACACTGGAGAAGCTGTTACGGTGTTGGTTGACCTCCAACAAAACTAGGAAGATCCAACAGCGAAGCGTTTGGATCTTCGCCAGGCACTGAAAGTATACCCAGCCCCCCTCCAACAGCCACCTCAAAACGTGGCATTTGTAGGATATCAATAACCACTATTAACATCTATATTAACATCTATTAACCAGGGTTATAACATGTTATAACATTTACAACCCAGATATGGGAGATTTTCTCAGCCATCCTTTACTTTACGACATGCGCGGCTAACGGTTTTCCGCCCATGGCGCTGTGCCAAGCTGGGTGCGCACCCGAACGATAGGTTTAAGTTGGTTTATCGTGCGGGAAACCCATGGAAACCCAATGCCACAATAACTACCATGGCTGGGGATGGTTAAGAAACCACCCATCAAAATGGTAATGACTTGGGGATGGTGACTATGGCATTGGGCTTAGCACATTAAATCATTAGCTTCACTGGGCAAAACGTGCTGGACAAGTTAGATGGGTAATCTTCCACAGATGTGATCAATGATGATCAATGGTCCCCCCCAATACCCTGGATGAGAGCAAAAAGGTGCCAATATCAACATAGCTATGGAAGCCATGGTATCTTCGAAATGGTGATGTCTCACAGCTATGTTAACTGACCAGAGGGTAAACATTCATGGCTGTCCCCAACTTTTTGAATAGCAAAATTCATGGAGTTTTCTCCATTTTTGGAATGCAAATGGGAGACCCGTGGCACCGTGCGATCCCATCATGAAAAGAAGCCGCCGACGCATTCCTGTACGCGGCCCGTAGATGATTTCCCTGTTTTGATTTCAATCATGACTCTTGGAGCCGCACTGAAGTGTTGGTTCCGTTCAAAGTTTGTCTATTTTTGCTGAAGTTTGTCTATTTTTTCGAGTGTTCAGCCTCACTCCCCGTTGCTGGTTCACTGGTTCACCAAAAAATGGTGAAATCAAAGCGAAGAACTTGAAAAATGGGTACCCCTTACCCTTAATGAAACATGTTTCATCATGTTTCTAAGGAAATGCCCGATGAAAATGGAGGTTTTTTCGCTGAGAGAACCATGAAAACCATCGAAATTGGGGGATTCTCCACAAAACCAGCTGGTTCTGGTGGCTCCTTTTGAGGCTGGGATGAAGTTCAACTGGTTGCCTTGGTTGCTTGACTTCAGGGGTGTAGGTGGCTTAAGAAAACTTAGGATTTATGTTTTATTAACTTGGTAAGCTTTGGAGTGGTAGTTTTATACAACTTGATCTTTTGCCAATTTTATGGGAATATATGCCGACCAGCTAAGAACGCATTGTTTTTGCAGGATATCTAAGATTGAACATGACAAGGGCACAGGATTGGTTAAAGGAGGGTTCGGGATCCGGTGGCCTATAGCTTACTCCCAAACTTGCGCAAATAACCACCAGAGAGGCTTCGGTTGAGGCGGGGGGGCATTGACCTAACAACGGTGACATACAATGTGGTACACCCAAGAATAGACCACTCTTTTCTTTGAAGCTTAAGTGGCTTGGTATCAACGTAATTAGTTGGGAAATAATTCAATGGTGTTGAATGGCTGGTTTCACTTGTTCTAGCCATGGCGCAAGTGTCTGCATAGTGATTCGTCAGTATTTTTCTTCGGGTGTACTGTTCTGCGGAGCCAAAACAGTCGAACGACCGAAGAACCCCGCATGTTAAGTCTTCCTATGAGATATGCGAAAGAAGCAAACGATAAATAAAAAGGCCACCATCAACTATAAGCACACTCCAGCGCAGATCTTATTGTGGTTTCCTTAGGCTTTCTGTTTTCTGAATGGATCATCCAAGTCATCCAAAGGGGCCATCCTCAAATGTCATAGGTGTATGACATTCCCATGGGATTTTTTTGGGAATCCCATAGAGGGATGAACATAAACCAGGAATCTCAAGTTGGATATATATCCCAGGATTCCAATGATCTTCCGGTTATGGTTGATTGGATCCCATATCATCCCATTAAAATATACCATTTTTATGAAGATCCCCCCATGGTTGGGAGATTAACCCATGAAAATATCCGTTTAATGGGTTAATCATCCATGAATGTTCATACATTCATGAACATCCCCCCATGGTTATCAATGATTCATGAGCTGGTTATATACGGGATTTAACCCATGGGCGTTTTCAGCAACTCCTTCTGGAATTCTTCTTCGAATGGGACATCGAATTCATCCATAGTGGATTAATGGGATCATCACTAGTCATAGTGGATTAATGGCTATTGATATCCAACAACTACATTATAACATATGATAACATTATTCATGGTCTATATATCAACATATATGAACATTATTGATCATTATTGCTGTTTTTTCGTGACCCCGCAATTAACCATTGAATTCCGATAAACATCCCCCATGAATCCCATGTAATTCAAGTGAAACCAGCAAGGTTTGAGCTGCTTTTTGGCGTTGCAGCGCAGGCCATGAAATTTGGTGGTTCACCATGGTCAATTGCGAAGTTAAATGAACATCAGCTAAAGATGGATCATTTCAGGGAAATTATGCTTGGTTAAAGCAATTTTTAGAGGCTTTGATTGGGGATTATGAAAAAAATCTGTGGATTGGTTAACCACAAATACAATAAACGGACCAACGGGATAGCAGAACTCTCCAGGGTGTTGCCAAACATCATTGGGGATGCAACCAGCCAAAAATGGAAGCCATGACTTTCTGTCATTTCGATATTCGAAAACCACCAGGA